ATATAAATCCATGGTATGGCCACACCGTGAATACTGCATGCAGTTCTGATTGCCCCATCTCTAAAAAAAAAAATATTAGAATTGGAAAAACATACAGAGAAGGGCAACAAAAATGAATAGGGGTATGGAACAGCTTCCATATGAGGAGAGATTAAAAAGACTGGGACTGTTCATCTTAGAAAAGAGATGAATAAGGGGACATATGATAAAGGTCTATAAAACCATGACTGATGTGGAGAAAGTGAATAAGGAAGTGTTATTTACTCCTTCACATAACACAAGAATGAAGGGGGTCACCCAATCAAATGAACAGGCAGCAGATGTTTAAAATTAAAAAAACACACAAGAAATTACTCCTGCAAGAGTGCACAGTCAACCTGTGGAACTTGTTGGCAGGGGATGTTGAGAAGGCCAAAAGTATAACTGGGTTCAAAAATAATTAGGTAAGTTCATGGAGAATATCTCCATCAATGGCTAATAGTCAAGATGGCCAGGGACGCAACCCATTGTCCTTTAACTGTTGACTGCCAGAAACCAGGTCTGGATGATAGGGGATGGATCACTCTATAAATTGCCCTGTTTTGTTCATTCCCTATGGAGTATCTGGCATCAGCCACTGTTGGAAGACTGGATACTGGGCTAGATGGACACTGGTCTGACCCAGTATGGCCAATCTGTTGTTCTTAATGTTTTGCTGTCCTGGGCTTCAGTCCTCTAGAATTGCTGAGCTTGAATGATACTTGCCAATGTAACACTTGCCATTTTCCCTAAATTTTCTTTGAAGATTTGTTATATTTGCACTTCTAAAAATACAACCCTGACAATTGTCCACTCCTTTTTGCAAAATGCTAATCTGTTTCAGTATGATTCATGCGTGGATTTGACTCCCTCTTAAGATTCCCGGTGAAAATGGGTTTTTCCAAAGCCCTCAATGTTCGCCTGACTTTTATCCCATTGAAATCTGAGTTTTGTTGAGAGCTTTTAAAAATGCTACCCTATCCTTTCACTCTTAGCTATTGCGAAGAGAATTTTGAATATCTAGCGCATTGTGTTTTCTAGGCCAGATTCTTGACCGTGCTTAAGCGCCCTTTGCACTGGCTGCTAGAATGGTGCAAAATAACTTTAAACCAACCCTACTGGAACTCATAAAACCACCATGGCAGGTTTTACACCATCTGCTCCCCCACCCTCCCTGGGAGAGGGGATATGTTAGCAGCAAGAAGAGATATTCCAGGGTGTGGAGCTAGAGGGCACAACACTCTACTGTCAGCAGAGCAGGGTCTATGAGACCACTGAGGCATCTTTCTTTATGAAAGGGTCATTTTAGCCTCTTGCTTCTTCTTATTTATACAGTGTGTGTTCTTTTTTCCCCTTTGACAAGATTCCTGTCTTTTTCCATTCAAGTAGATTAGCTTCAGATATTTTTAAGTGAATCTGCATCTTTTTGTGATCTACGCACCCTTAAAATTCCTGAAGGGGAGTTTGACAGGCAGAATACAGGGGACTTAGAGACTATAAGAAATAGCCTGATTGGCTTTTACTTTAAAAAACAACAACAGCTTCTCTTATATTATTCTGTTGTGTTTTAAATACCACACTTCGTAATACTATAGTGTTAAGGAAACTATCGTCCTCCAGGGTGCAGCAGTAGGGATGCCTGGGAGTGGTAGAGTATGGGGGACTTTCCATTAGTTTTTCACCCTTCAGTCCTGATGGCAAGTTGCAGGGCTCCTAATAAAAACTGGAGACACCTCAAGGCTTCTTAACGTTCACTTGCAGTAACTTCCATGAAATAGTGAGACAGATAGTGTGGCCTAGTGGAGAGGGCAATGGATTGGGGTTCAGTTCCTGCCTGTACCAGTGGTGTTTTGGGTGGCCTTGGGCAAGTTCTTTCACCACTCCGTGTCTCAGTTTCCCCATCTTAAAATGGCAATAATGGTACTTTGACCTTCTTTGAGATCTATGGATGAAAAAAGTGCTGTATAACAGCTACGTATAGATCAGGGGTGGCCAATCTGAGTCTGAGAAGGAGCCAAAATTTACCAATGTACCTTGCCAAAGAGCCACAGTAACACATCAGCAGTCCCCCAACCATCTCCCCCTCCCTCCCCACTCCCAGCATCTCCCACCCACCGGCAACCCCGCCGATCAGTACCTCCCCCTTCCTCCCCGCACCTCCCGATCAGCTGTTTTGTGGCGTGCAGGAGGCTCTGGGAGGGAGGGGGGAGGAGTGAGCATGGCAGGCTCAGGGGAGGGGGCGGGAAGGGGTGGAGTGGGGGCAGGGCTTGTGGCAGAGCCAGGGGTTGAGCAGTGAGCACCCCCAGGCACATTGGAAAGTTGGAGCCTGTAGTTCCAACCCTGGAGTCGGTGCCTATACAAGGAGTCGGTGCCTATACAAGGTGCCTATATTAACTTCTGAAGAGCCCCATGTGGCTCTGGAGCCACAGGTTGGCCACCCCTGGTACAGATGCTGATGCCTCTTATGCGTAGTGTGCAGGGAGAGGTAGTGATGCAGAGCTGACTACTCTGGCTTTGTTACCTGGGGATTTCCCTGCACACAACTAGCTCACTGTCCATTTTGTACAGGGTAGAGCAAAGAAGAAAGAACAGCATCCAGGATCAGGCCCTGTAATTTTTTGATAGATTTTATTAATATAAACAGAAGGCCAAATTATTTACTGGTGCAAATTGATGTAACAGAATTTGGCTTAGTATTTTTAAAATATACTGGCATAACATCAAGTTTTTTAAACATAAATTTCTGAAGCCAAATGCTGGGTTTGTTGGCTTATCTGTTTAAATTGGAAGCACATCACTTCTCATATAATCAACGATTTAAAGATGGTCCATAAATCATCAAATTTTATGACATATGAGGTTAGACAAACATGCATTTTTTCTACTACTATCTGGATTTTCTCAGGACCTAGATAATTTTATCTCATTTACATCAAACATGCAGGTAACTTTAGAATTCTGTGTCTGTATTATTTCTAGGGAGGCATAATACAATTACAAATGACAGTAATTGACATTATATGCTTTAATTAAATTTCCTCCTCTCTGAACCAAAACCTTTTAACCAAGCATTGCAGTGCTATTTCTGTATTTATTTGTTAAATGGGTTAATGTGCTATGTGGCAGATATGGTATTTATCCATTTTCACAAATTAAGCTATCAATATCATGTTGACTTTAAATTGTTTCCTATATTGATGGCCAAAACCACTTGAAAAAAATTTCCCTCCGCCCTTTGCTAAACTTCCTATTTTCATAAAGCTGAAAATTGTGGGGCTGAAAATCATCCCTTTATGACAGTTTGGGTAGCCTAGGCCCAAAGAATCTCACCAATATGCTGTTCTTTTCTGCAATGATTTCTGCTTAGGGCAAGCGGAAGCACATTTTCTGAACCTGAGACTAATAAAATGATTAATTTCTCCTAGATTACAGGAAGTAGAAGTGAAATCCTATTTGAAGTTGTTTGTGGGAAGCGAAAATGGATTGACAGGAGGGTGTGCTTACAAAACTTTGCTTCCCACCCCCAAGCATGTGCTTCAGACCATGAATTCTAAACTTCCTAACTAACTAGACTCCTGCAAATGTTATCCCACTCAGAAAACAACCCCACTTCAGTTATTACAAAGCTCTCATTCTTGCCCACTGAATAGTACTGTAACTACACCCAGGTACATTAGTTTAGTTAGACAGGGTCCTCCTGGAACTACAGTAGGTACAAGCAGTGTTTTAAAGATGAAAGACCGAGAAAACTTTTGGTATTTCATCCCATTTTTTCCACAATTAACTGGTGTTATTCAACAAGGCAGCACTCCCACCTTCCTGCTCTGTGCGGAAGCGGGTGCTGATGCAGTATGCCAGGTGGATAGCCCTCATTATTGTAGAGGGCTACACAGCAGCAGAACTTCCAGGAGGGAGGCTGGAACTCAGTGAACAGCCCATCAACCACATTGTTTTCATTAAGGAATATATGTGAGTTAAGTGCCCCACCTAAAGCTCCCCCATGGCTACACCGTGATGGGTGCAATGCAAGAGCCTTTTATAGAGTACTTGTATTTTTTCTATGATGGGTCACTTCAGAACCAGGACCAAGGGTGAGTGGTGGTTTGTAGCACAGCTGAATAACCCTGAGTAAGAAGCACTCCGCAGTGTCCATTTATGACTTTGGCAGTCGTAATTCTTATGAAGTTTAAATGGAAACTAGAAAGGTAACCACTTTCTGCTGCTCAGGATGGAGCCAGTCATTTGTCATTTCCTCCTTGTGCTCCAAGTGGAAACAGGCGTTCAGGAACTTTTACAGCTCCTTTTCTAATATCTTCATAGCAATTCAGTTTTGACACCAAGTCAAAACTGATTATTATTTCATCTGGTCCTCTACTAAGCCACAATCACCCTAGAGGGGAAGAGAGTTATATGTTTTCCTTTCCCAGTTGTTTTGCTGTCCTGTTGATGTCTCATGCATTCTCACTCCTTGCCTTCCAACTTTATGTGATTGTTTCAATTTTAGGGCCTGATCCTCCTCCTGTTGGAGTTTTGTCATCTATTTCAGTGGGAGTAGGACATATAGATGGAGAAGAGGCACAGTGGGTAGGAGTGGAATTTGAACTTCCCTTGTACCATATTACACTTGCATCTCAATTCTGGAAATATATTTTAATGATTTGGCTGCTTATGTTGATTTTCACTCTTCAACCATTTTTAGTTTTTTATCATTCTGCACCTCTGATTTTTCAAAACCAATACAGGCAAAAAACAAGGTGTTTCATTTCCTGTTGCCATGTCTTCATTCTGCTCTACTCCATCCTTTTAGGATAACCAGGGTTCTATCCCAAATTGTATGGGGGATATAATACCAGTTATTCAGCATTAGAACTTGACTCTGAGATTGCATGAAATTACATGCCTTACAGACGCCATTCGAGTCTTTCATTCGATCATATGACAGGTAACAAAAGATATAGTCAAAGCTGCATCTTAGCTCTCCAGACAACAACTTGCCAAGCTGCGAAAGGCAGATTTAGTTTGTTTTGCAGATGGTCTATGAGTCTCATGTGGCATCATATTAAATTATATAGGCAGTCAGTCATTTGTTCTGAAGTGATGCACTGAGCTGAGAGATGTATCAGGAGCGTTCTGTTGGAAAACAAGCTCTACAGCTACGAATACAGCTTCACAGAACAGCAACAAAAAGGGGGCCTACAAGGAAAGGGACTTGAAATACCTTACAGACAGCTAGTTCTCCTTGTGCAGATAAAATGAGGGTGACTTGGACAGTGTACAATGGGCTGTGGAGCCCTTTGCCCTAAAGGTAGGAGATCCTACACTACTCGTCATTGTTTTTCATGTTGATTTCTATGGTGTCTGAGTATTACTTTCTGCACTTATATTTTTGTAAGGGGTGTTAATTTTTGTTTTCTAATATTTTAAAATTGAGGGCGGGTGATTAGTGTCCTGTTGCCTTGGTCAGACTTTGCATTGTGAAGCTCCCACCAGTTAACAGTGGAAGACAATATTGTAGTTTGTTCATTTTAAATGTTATTCTGGGTCTAAAATATTTCTACAATATGAGATATTAACTAGGGCATGATTCTAGACCCACTGATGGTCAATGCAAGTGTTACTATTAACTTCAGTGAGTGCAGGATCAGGCTCTTAGTAATATCTGAACCAATGTGAAATAAACTTCAGAGTCTGAATTTCTACATGGGGATAAATTGTTTAGTTTAGTCAAAAGCATGTTTCAAATGAGGATTTTCAGATGGGTTGTGTGGAAAAGAGTACTTTAGTTTTTTGTATTATTTTCACTTTACTAAATATTTCTTAATACGAATAGCTGTAAGTAATTGTTGTTTTCAATCCACAAGCCCTTTTGGTACATAAAGCAGTTTAAATAAGCTGCTATTGAAATTAAATCAATATTTATGGCTTTAACATCTGCAGGTTGAAAATTATGTTCGGAAACCTCTGAATTTGTGTTAATGCTGTACAGGAAAATCCATTTAAGATTATTTACTCAGATTTTAATGTTCATCCAATGCAAAGTGGCAAAACTTTGAATCTGCACTAGAGTTACTATGAGTCTCAATATTCTGGATGTTGAAAAAAGTAGCTGGATGTTGAGGAGTGTGAGTGAAGTACATTTAACAGACAGTATGTTGTAGGGAGCTATTTCTAGTGCTATAGCCCTGCTGGATGGGTGGTAGCAAGTGATTGTATGAGCTACTTCTTGTTCAAAGTATCTTGGAAAGAACAACAGCAAAGTATGTGCGGTTCACAAGACAGTTTATTCCTATAATGCTGTTGCTGATATTGTGTACCACTTGTTTTCTAATTTAACAACATGCTAATACTGTACTCAAACGAATAACACCAGTACACCACTTCCTTGGGAAGAGGCAACTGGAGGCTAGAGCAGGCGGTTGGGTTTAGAAAGAAATTACTGCAGATTGGGAATGCACAAGAGGATGTATGAAGGGTTTATGAAGAGCGATTCATAGGGCATGATGAAAATTCCCAGAGCTGAGATGTAGGAGGTAGGATGGTCTTGTGATTATGGCATAGGACTGGGATGGGAATCAAGAGGTTTGGGTGCTATTTCTGTGTGACTACAGGCAAGTCACTAGGGATAGATTTTTAAATGCCCAGCTTCCCTTCTATGAGTACAGATTATCTCCATAGAGAGGCTGAGTCTTGACCCAACTCAAAATGTATCTCTTAATCTCTTTGTGCATCACTTTCTCCCATCTGTAAAAGGGGCATAGTAATAATTTCCTACTTCCCTGGGATGTTGAAGCTAAATTAATTAACTTTGGTAAAGTGTGTTGAGAGGTTAAAATGGGAAGTGCTGGCTCATTCCCTCTATTAATTGAAGAGTAACTCAGTTTCCCCAGGCCAGGTCCTGGACTCTTGTATTGGTTTCCCAGCTGTACCACTTGCACCTTGCTCTGCCTCCAAGTTTTCTGAGAATATCTTCTTTTTAAATTTTCAGTTTAATTTTAAAAGCAAAGCATAAAAACCTTATTACTGATTGAAAAGAGTAACAATGGCCCAGACCAGTGGTTCTCAAATTATTACACATTGTGGGCCGCATATGCAGCCCACAGTGTGTTACGTGGGCTGCAGGGGCTGGGTGGCATGGCAGTGGCAACCTGGACCCTGACCCCAGACCCGTGCCATGCGAGCATGTCTGGCTGTCCGCCCCGGGCCTGCGGGGCCGACTGGGAGCCCTGGATCCCGTGGGGAGGGCTAGTTGCCATGACCCTGGGCCTCCACTCCTGCGGGATGGGCTGGCTGCCCTGACCATTGGCCCCTGCCCCCGCCAGGTGGGCCGGCTGCCCCAGACTCCAGGTCCCTGACTGTGCCGCGCCAGGCAGCCGGGAACCTGGCGAACCCTAGCACTTGGGCCGGCCTTTAGCACACAGCTGAGCTGGGCTGCAGCTGTGTGCTAATTGTGCCACATGCGGCCCGTGGGTTGAGAACTGCTGGCCCAGAGTCTCAGCTGTGGCTAGTACACATTAGGTATAGCTTAGGGTTACCATATGTCCTCTTTTTCCCAGACATGGCCGGCTTTTTGGCACTCAAACCCCCGTCCGGGGGGAATTGCCAAAAAGCCGAACATGTCCGGGGAAAATGCCGCCCAGGCACTTCCCCTCCCGCGGCGG